TCTCTTGACGGCCACCACCTCGCGCCACATCTTCAGCAGGCGATTGTGCTCGCTGTTGTAGTAGTCCTTAAAAGCCTGCTCCTCCTCCTTGAACTCGTCCTCCTTGATCAGCAGCTCATCCCGCAGACCCGCCCAGTCGTTGGTCAGCTTCTGCAGGTCGTTGGTCAGCGCCTCGTTGGTGCGATTCGACTCCTCCAGCTGCTGACGCAGTGCGCTGTTCTGGGCGAGTATCTGCTCGCAGCGCTGGTGCTCCTCCTCCAGTTTGCGGCACAGTTCCGCCGCTCCGGCGCCGCTTCCGCTGCCCAAGACATCGTCGACATAGTCGCGACTGCAGCTGGGCGGCGGCGAGTCCAGTGAGGAGCTGCAGGGCAAGCTGCTCTGCCCCAGAGTCAAAGAAGTTGAGCACTAAAAAACAAGATGGGCATGAGCTACAGTATCCTTGGATTTAAATTGATTTATTTCACAACAATGGCATATGTTGGAATCTCAATGATAACTGCAATCACCTTGGCCTGTGAACCCCAAATTATAAATCAAATTGATTAAATAGAACGAAAAATTTATTACTCATACGCAACGTTGCCCCTACGAACATTTTAGGAACATTTTTGCCCAGCTTTTGAATACTCACCAGCACTTGGCTGGTCGGACCCGTGGTCAACTTGGGTCCTGCTCCCGCCGTCGGCTTAATGGTCTCGTGCATGCGATCCTCCAGGTCGCTGCATCGCTGGCGATACTGCTGGATCTTCGACTGCAGTCGGCTGACCAGGTTTGCCTGGTTGTGCTGCGCCTGCTTGTAGGTGTCCAGGCGGCGTCGATAGCTGTGCGACTCGTCGGCCAGCCGCTGGCGCAGCTCCTGGTTCTGCCGCAACAGGGCAGAGGGGTCTCCTCCTCCTCCTCCTCCTCCTCCACCAGCGCCCGGCGGACCCGGACTCATCATCCTGGGCGTCAGGCCTCCCGCAACGGAGGCGGAAACGGAGGCGGCACTGGCCGAGGGGTCACGCCCACGCTGGCTGCGCGAGAACGGCAGCCGGGAGGCGGTGCCCGGTGGGTGGGCTGTTCCAGCCGCCTGAAGGTCGACGGCCGATGGGCAGGGCGTTTGCTTGAAGTTATCGCGATACGCCTGCATCTGCGAAAGGAGTTGGTTGAGATAGAGAGTGAGTGAGGTTCGCTGGGTGAGTGAGGTTTCTGTGTTGCGGTTGGCATTGCGTGCACCCGCAAAAGTCACACCAAACTTGGGTAGTTTTGTATTAGAACAAGGCTGTACCCTCTAGTCAATTTTAATTATCTTTGTATTATTGAAAAAGTTTAGTCCTAGTATAAGTAGGTTAAAACTAACAGATTCAAACAGTTTGTGTTGAATAAAACTTAAAAATATATTTGTTGATTTTATACCTATTACCCTTAGTTAAGATTCCTGTAATCCCATCAACCCCTTCGGCGGATGGAAAAGGGGTATTACCTTTATGAAGCGGAAACTTTCTGGCCAAAAGTTTGGCGCCGCGCCTACGCTACAGACGGACTCGATAAGTTAGTCCAAATTGATTTATTAACTTGTTCCGGGCCTGGAGTCAGTCGTCATGACAGCTCCACCGAGGTGCTGTTTCCTCGCAAATAAACAAGCGTGGGGCCCCAGCTCCCCCAAGGATCCCAGTCAGGACTGGGACCCAGTCTCTCCATTACGTCCATACTTTCGAATGATATTTCCACTTGAGGAAATTGTTTTTGGGACCCGGACGACACGCATTGCACAGTCTGTCACCAGGACAGCAAGTGTTTGTGCCCACCAACCCCGTGCTGCTCCAATCCGTGGCCCAACTGCCAACTCCACTCCCCCGAAAGTCATAATAATTCCTTGTCCTCGTATTTATTTTAATAAACAACATTTCCGCCGCTGTTGAAACTTCCTTTGACACGAATGCGTCTTCTAATTTTGAGCTCCTTATGCTCCGCTCCCCAGGCCACCCAGTGCACCCAATGATTCCCCCCACCCATTGCCATCTGTGTTTATGCAAACCATAAAAGTATAATAATAATATACTTGATAGTGCGACTATGATTTGGCATGCAATCTGCTCCATGGCGCTTCTACTTTCTATTTTAGTTCCCGATTTGCTATCACCACGTCAGATGGAGGTCGTGATTGAGGTTTATTGGGAAAAATCGGGGTAGTCATAGCACATAGAATGAATCATAGATAGATAATCTATATAGAGATATATTACTTTATATTCGGAGTAATATTACTTGAGCAATAAGAACTTATTACACACAATTCAAGTACTTAAGTTTTTTTCTTTGGAATAGTACAAGGCATTCGAGGTATTTTGTAGGGCTTGTTAAAAGCAACCTTAAAGCATTCAACACTTTAAGTAAACAATCTTAACTCCTTCTCAAAAGAAATCACATTGGTAATTTAATTAGCTTTGGTACTAATATTCCTTTATTTAAGGAGTTTTTTATTTAAGTTAATACGTTAATTCGTCTTTAGTGTTTAATGAACTTTATGTGTAAACTATTTTACTTTTAATTATTTATACCACAGCTAACTGCAACTTACTTTTCACTGGCAGTGAGAGTTTCCTATGGTTTATTATGTCCAAATTAAGACCGCGCACTAGACACTGTTGTTAACTGATTGAGCTCCAATTGAATACTCATCAAGTTATCACGGAATCCTGGGGCTCGAGGCCTACTCCTTGGCTCCTCCACTAGCGTGTCCTGCCTGGTGGCAATTGACACAAATTTGCGGAATGCGGAAGCACTAACGCAACTAACGCTTCTCGGTAGGGAAAGTAAATCGGGCTGGGGGCCTAACTGCCTGTCTTGGCCAGGATTCGAACTGTCTGCGAACGCGGAGCTGAGCCAACTGAGCGCCCGGTGAAGTTTTCGCAAGGAGGAAGAATGGAGCAAGTCAATGGGATTCCCTTTTCGAACTAACCGCCATTAGGGCCAGCTCCGTCTGGGGAGCAACTGCAGCCTGTCCGTGGTGCATGGGACTGGGGCAGAATAAACATTGAATTAACAAATTCCTGGTTACCACCGGCAACCGCAATTGATTACGGAAAGAGGAGCTCACAATTATGTTTGGCGTGCGAGCGAGCAACAAATGCAAATCGTGCCTCGGAGCATATTGCTCCGAATGCGGTCGGTCAAATCGGGCGATATCGATGGGTATAGCCGTACGTACAGTACGAGTATGCACTGTACGGTAGAGCTGGTGGTGGGTGGTGGCTGATGGCTGGTGGTTCCTCTCCAGGTTCGCCTGGTCACATGCTTCATGCCCAACTGCTTTTAATAAGTCAACCAGCGGGCAATAAATTGAGATAGCACAGGTGACTCTGTCGTTGCGATTAACCCTTTTCATGATTTATTTGCGGTGAATACAAATGAGCTTCCATGAATAGTTCAACCCTTGGTTGATATGGATATTATGCCAAACATAACAGGAATACTAAGTATTATCAAGAAGGGCTTGAATATAAAGTTCTGTAAAAGTAGAGGGAAGGAAGGAACCGTCCTATCTTATCATAGTTTTATTCAAACGCCAATCGCATTTCCCGCACTTCGTATTACAAAATCGAAATGCATTATCTACAGCCACGTAAACCTCGATCGCTCTGAAAATACCTCGCTGAAAGCAAATGTCAAAATGTTTCCTGGCTCAGGTTGCGAGATCTATTGCGATGGAGGACTCCCGGGGTTATCGCCGACGTTCATATCAGAGAACTGCATACTCATGCAGCCCACAACGCATTCGCCATATATAAATAGTAGGTACATAGGTGAGACGGCTATTTCCATGGCACAGCGACGACGAAATAATGCCAGAATAAAGCCCGATCGCTGAATTGAAATGTGTTATATACATATATACATATGTGCAGGCCAGGCACCCTTATCAGGCCCGCTTTGAACCTGGTCGGCGACCTTGGCCAGGAGGAGGAGATATCAAAGTGCCAGGTACACAGAATGCCTTCCATTAGGCAGTCGTGTCCGCCGTACAGATGTGGAACTCAGACTCGCGAACAACTATGTAGACTCTCAAAGTCCGAAGATTGGTTATGCATTCGCCCACTGAGGTGTTTGTGTTTGCTTCACTTTCGGTTTTTAATCTAAGGTCTATACTATGTGTAGGTGTGAGATTACTGCCGAGCATAAGTTTCTTTCAGCCGCCACGGGACGGAATAGTAGATCCCCTTATCAGCACTAATGGGATTGAATACCAGGCCAAAGTCCCACTGGCCACAAAGTGGGACCTGGAATGCATCGATCGTGCTACCCCCGAACTCACTATACTGATCTTCGGCACGGACGGAGATTTCCCGGCTCTCTTGGCAACGGGCGCCACCTCCGCCTCGCCGGAACCTTCAAGCGGCGACGATGATTTATACCCGATCGCCAAAAATGTCAGACGAACGGAGGAGAGCGGATCATCCCGAGAGTTGGCGACAATAAACATCACGATCGCCAACACATTGTTCGGCTGATCAGCCAATTTATATTGCTACACTGAGAGTTTCCCTCATATACTCGTATGTTGATTATGGCGACAGTATTTTATAATCGCATGGAGTTACCTAATCTGGATTTGTAAGGGTGTGTACATAGTAACTAACCGAGCTTAGTCAACAATATGATAGTGTACTTTAAACTTGCAGAGGTTTTAGGAAACATAAACTTTTCTTATAAAGCAAAAGTCTAGCCTGGCAACTAATAAATAAATTGTGATAAGCCCAGCAGCATAGACAAAAAAACTGACCTACCAGAATTTAACGCAAGTCATAACTATTAAGGCCTCTATTTTGAAATGCGCAGACTTTAAACCTAATTTTTTTTGGTAGTGTCTGAATCTGATAGTGCTATTTATAAGACTTTCAGTGGAGTACCTGATGGCGGAATCTATATTCAGTGGCCACCAAAGTAGTGCAATTAACTAATCAGTGTGATAAGGCACCCAGCCATTAGGCGCAATCATTTCAAGAACAATTCGTGATTAGTTTGTGGGAGTTTTTCTGGCAGTGCACAAGGTATAGACAGGGACTGGCCGATCCCAGTGCCGATGGACATGTGTGTCTGGGGTGGGTTATCAACGGTCGCGGCTGCATCCCATAGGTTTAAAGTATAGCTCCTATTTAAAACGCGATTTAGTCACAGTTCGGATTTTGCCAGCAGCAGCACGGCAGCGATAATCGGAGATTACACGGCGAAGATAATACGGAATACGCGAGTGAGCGAGTGAAGATGTCCCAGACCCTGGACGATCTGCTGTTGCGCCAGGAGCACGCCCGGCAACTGCGCCAGGCCACGCGCTCCAAGTTTCGGCGCATCAACTCGCTGGATCTGATACCGGAGCACCCCAGCCAGTCGGAGGAGGAGGAGGACAAGGAATCCCAGACGGCCCACAAGCACTTCGTTACCCTCAGACGGCAGCGGACGGCTGATGGCAATCTCCTGAGGCATCAGTTTCAGACGCAGTCGCCACCACTGCCCAATCTGGGCACCAGAGTCCTGCTCTTCGGACCACAGTTGCTGATGCGTCTGGTGCTGACCATCTTGAGATACGTCCTCTACATACCCCTGTCCATTGCGGCGCCCAGCTTCTGGCTGTCTGCCCTGCTCTGGATCTTTTGGAAACTGCTGCGTGTGCCCATTGCCCTGGTCAAGTGGCTGCTGAGTGGCGAGGAGGAGCTGGGTGCAGTGCAGCGCCAGAAGACCATACTCCTCAGCTGCGGCAGCACCATACAGACCCTACATTTGGCCAGGAATTTCTACGGTTCCGGCGCCCGTGTGGTGGTCTTTGAGTTCGAGGGATTGTTCGGACTGGCCAGGTTCTCCACGGCGGTGGATAAATTCTATTTGGTGCCACGGCCAACGGCCAGTAATCCGGATCAGTACATTGCAGCCCTGTGTCACATAGTGAAGAAGGAACGACCCTCGGTCTATATACCCGTGTGTGCCACCAGTCCGGCATACTATGATTCCCTGGCCCGACCCCATCTGGAGGTGCTGGGCTGTGCCAGTTTCATACCTGGCGTGCAGGAAACGATGCAGCTGGATGACTGCCTCCAGCTCTTTAGGAGATGCGAGCAGCAACAGATGGCACTGCCAGCCCATGTGGTGCTGACTGCTCCACGGCAGTTGCAGCAGATCTACGAGAGCGGTTTCGTGGGCAGCTATAGGAACATACTCATGGCCGCCGGAATGCAGGGAGTGCTGGAGCGGCACAAGTACATACTGCCCAACAGGAGGGCGGAACTGAAGATGAACCAGCACGAGATCAGCGAGAGACAGCCGTGGCTGGTGGTGCGGGATCAGCCGGGCTATCACCACTATGTGACCTGCACCACCGTCAAGGATTCGCGGGTGGTGGCCAATGTGAGTTGTCGGGTGGAGCATCACACCAAGAATCTGATACCAGTGCCCAGGGATGATGAGGCGCAGATAGAGCTCTGGCTGCGCTCCTTCTTCGCCAAGGTGCGCTTCCAGAGGCCCATCAACGGGCACATAAGCTTCCGGCTGGTCAAGAGCCCCGCCCACGGCGGTCAGTTCGTGCCACTGGGCACGCGACTTGGCGTGGCCCTGCCCTACATATGCCACAATCGATCGCATGCCCAGTTGCTGTGCCGGGCAATGAAGTGCATCCACAGGCGGGGACTGCCGGAGGACGATCTGCCCAACTGGAGCTGGTCGGCGCTGGAGAGGAGCACCTCGACCACGGCGCTGGACAAGCGGGAGGCACTGTTCGCCTACTGGGATCCGCTGCCCTATTGCGCCTACTATCATTTCCAGCTGCCCCTGGAGAACGTGAAGCTGTTTTTGCAGCGCCGGAATCGCAGCGCGACCAAAAGCTTATCACCCCGCATCACGGTGCCGGTTCATTGAACGGAGCCGCCGGAGCTGGAGCCACAGCATCAGCATTAAGCATCGAGCAGCAGCATCTAGCATCTAGCAACCAGCATCAGGCGTTTCTTTAGCGAGAGAGATTACACAGACTGATCAATAATGGAATATATAGAAATCTATATGGCATATATACATATATATATTTGCATTCTATACTATTTCTTTTTTTTTGTTTACGCCAATGGGGTTCAACATCCATCTAAGAAGATTAGGCCGTTAAAAAACAAACGTGTACCGCTCACACACACACGCACACACACACACCACACACACACATGCACGAATATAGATTTTATACCACAATATATTGTACAATAAATAATATTTATATTTTAATTGCCCATTTGACTTAATTTTTTACTTGTGCGGATTTTATTTTCATTGGACTCAGCTTGATGTGTGACACTTTTTTGTTTTGCGATTTGAAAATGAGTTGATAGATTAATATATGCCGACTATTTAGGGTTGTTTCTTCATATATCATGGTGGTGTTAGATATCACATTCTCTGTTCCTAAACAGAGTAGGTTTTTTAATTATTTGATTACTTTTTGTATTTAAGCACTTCAATTTACTTAATTCACTTCAGTTAAAGACAAATAAGCTTTGTTTCACTAAATTATTTCCGTAGTTATATGTCACAATTTATATAAATACAAACAGAAGATCAGTAGGTAACCTATTTATACCATAGATCCTATTTTCCACACATATTTGTATCTTTTATTTACCCATCTATATTAGTAAGCCATTTGTAAACTGCATCTGGCTGAATATTTAACACGTTGCAGTTGTTCCTTGCTTAAATACACAAACCGAACTGACCAGGCGGGTTGCAAGGGTTTGTCCTTGGTCTTTCGGTGGTGCCTGCACTCCTGGCGGTGGTTGTTTTGGCCACGTTTCTGCGTCCCGAGCCCGGCTAGTTGTTGTGGACACCTTTTGGGTTACCAGGCAACGGCTTTGGGTCAGCTTAATTGCGGTTGGTTGGCGGTAACTGAGCCATTTCCATTCCATCCTTATCAATGGGCCAGCAAAGTGCATTAGAGGGTGCACAACACAGCACCACAGGGTCAAAAGGGGGAAATTTGAAAATTATTTGCATAATTTATGGGGTAGAAAGGCGTTTTTTATTTCTACTCAAGCGTTACAATTGGAGCTAACTTATCATCATTTAAAAATTCTACGCCTAAATAAACAATATTTAACAAGCAGATTAACGAAACCTAAAAGCTTGTATACAAATATTGCGAAATAGAATGCCATTTAATCTTTCAAAATCAAATTGTTCTGTTATCGCGGAATTTTTCCCTCATTGAGATAACAACAATGCCGCTTACTCGTGTCCACTTGCATTTATTTGCTCAGCTAATGCTCTCTGCCAGAGAAAATAATTTTATAAATAATACTACAAAATAAAAAAAAAATAAAAAAAAAAAAAAACTTGACTTTTGCCAGGTGTGGGGTTCGAACCCACGCTCTCTCTCGAGAACCAGAGCTTAAATCTGGCGCCTTAGACCGCTCGGCCAACCTGGCTGGGGGAACTCGTTGTCAAAAAGTACCATATATGTTTTGCTCGCTGGGCAGAAGGATCATAATTTATTCAATTATTGTAATTATGTATGATATTATATTTGCATACTACAAATCAGAAGAGGCGTAAAGTAGGTCTAAGGAAAATGTAACAAGAGGAAATGAACAATGTAACAATGTAAATGTAAGGATTCAGAAGCGTTATAGCTATCTAGAAATATTTATGGGATTTACATATTTGCCATCGTCACCAATCAAATTTGTAACCCCTCTCCGAAATACAGGTTACCCCTACCTCCATGGGAAAATTGAAGTTTAAGAAGTAGCTGAGTTTGTTTTTATCAATCCACATTCCACACATGTTCCACCCCAAAGTGTGACCGTAAATCCACTTGTGTTTACAAATTATATTGTTTCTAGAGTATGTGTTGTTTTTGAACTTAGAAACAACCTAAAAATCTTATCTTTTGAATGCGAGATAGTCAGAAATATATAAATAAACTTGAATTCCATTTCAACCGCGTTTATTTTGAGCTAGAATTTGGTGTGACCAGCTGACAGCGGAGTCAAAATGCGAGCGACTTTGGAAGTCGTTTTGGTGTTCTAGGTGAAAAAAGGCCAGCGCCACAATGGTGATTGGATGTGGAACAATGAACAACAGCCCCAAGGATCCCTATCGTGGTGGAGGAGGAGGCACTGGGCCCCAAGAACGCGGTGGATCGACGGGTGTGTCCATCAACATCGAGAGCGACGACAATGAATCGACCACAGCGGAGCACGACTACCTGCTGCCTGCCTCCTCTTCGTCGGTGACCTCTGGAGGTGGCGTCGGAGGAGGAGGAGCCGTCGCCGGGGGATCGATCCAAACCAGCATAAGCCTGGAGCACCACCACGTACCCACGGCGCGGAGCAGCAGCCTCAGTGGTGGTAATGTGCGTCACGGTAACATTCTATCCACATTTTTGGCCCGTCAGCGATCGTACACGCCAGCCAGCAACAGCAGTTCTCCGATACGGGTGACCACTCAGATGAACCGTCGTTTGCAACAGTCCCGTAGTATGGGCGCCAACACTGGTGGCAGTCTCGAGGAGCCTTCCAGCGCCGGAGCAGCAGGTGGACCAGGAGCATCGCCCGGAGCTGGGGCAGGGGTTCGGCAAATGGGCTTTTGGCGTGTCAACCTCAACGATGTCTTTTCGCTTTCAACGGCCCCGTCGACGGAGGCACTGCGGTCCCTCATCTCACATTCCAATTTCAGATATGCACCTGCAAACGCTGCAGCTTCCGCGGCACCAGGACCTCAGCCAGCCGCCAATCCCGTAGACAACTCGCACATACTGCTCGGCCAGCAGCAGCCATCGCTCCCTGAGCCTGTCAGTCCTCTGCGATACGGTCGCGTTGCGGCAGGATCTGGTGCCAGCGGAGCTGGAGCTATGGGCAGAAGTATCTCCCTGCGTGAGGGCGAGATGCGACACAATCACAGCCTTAGTGGAGGACGGCACAATGCCAGTGCCATAGGACTAAACAGCACTCCGGCGGCCTTCGACGAACGCGAAGCAAATGAGAGCCAAGACCTTGACGAAAGCGATGTCAATGGGGATAACAGAGGCGGAATAGTAGCAGGAGGTGGCAACCCACCAGAGCCCGCAGAGAATCATCCAGAAGACGAGCATCTGATCTCAGATGACATGGTGGTCCAGATCCTCAGCCATTTTGTTCGCTATCTGCCGCTTATCTTCATACTATTTATCAAGTTTTTACACGACCACCTGCTGGGCATTGTGGATCTTCTGGTGCTGCAGACTGTGATGTACAATGTAAACCGATCAGTACGCAATCAGGTGGCCCGTCTAGCTCAGAAGAACTACGCCGTGATGACGCGGGATGCTTGCCTTATTGCCGTGGTTGTCGCAGTTCGTCTATTTCTGGCCACTGCGCCGCCGGATCCCTTTGGTCTGATTGTGCCACCTCCCAGGAAATCCGCCCTAATAGAGGTCACTACGCTGCCCGATCAGACAAGTTCCGAAGGGGACAGCCCCACAACAGCGCCGGAACCCGGCAGGGGTGCCCTGTACAAGGATACGTACAAATCCCTGAACGTGATCCCCCTGGGCATGTTGCTCTACTATATAGCTGTGAGCGATCTCATTCTCAAACTGCTGACCATGCTGGTCAAACTTATAATTACCATGCTGCCGCACCACTTGATGAGACTCAAATTGCGGGTGAGTAGTTATTTTGCACAGGAAACTCAGTCTAACATTCAATAATAACATAGATTAATGAAATCTTAGTTGTTCCATTACAAAATTAAAAATATTCATCATTTAAATTTATTGAATACTCCATAATATCACTATAGGTCCATTATAATAAGTCATTTCCATCAAAACATGAGTCATAAAATATGTAAGGCTCACATTATCAGTAAATGGGAACTCCCATTCTTAATATACATTTACTTGTTTATAATACATATTTTACTTTGGCATTTCAGGCTCGACTCTATGTGTTGGTGGAGTACACTTCCCAGTTCTACAGGGCGATGACACCCATTACCCAGTGGTTCCTTTTTCTCTACGAGTCCTACTCCGGCCTGGAGGTGGTCTCCGGAGGACTGCTTTCCGCACTGTACACGGCTGCCAAGATATTCGAGCTGGTGGAGCGCGGCAAGTCGCTTAAGAAAGCCATTGTGACCTTCAGAAAAAATTTTGTAAGAATGTCTGCGACGACATTGCGATGTTGTGTGTCCATTGTTAATAAAAATGCATTCAAGGACTCTGAGCGACAGCCGACCAAAGATGAGCTGGATGCCGCTGGTGCCCTGTGTCCAATCTGCCATGACGCCTTCAACACGCCCACAGTGCTGGGGTGCGGCCACATTTTCTGTGATGAGTGCGTCCAAACCTGGTTCAAGCGCGAACAGACCTGTCCGATGTGTAGGGCCAAGGTCAGCGATGATCCCGCCTGGCAGGACGGCAGCACGACCTTCTTCCATCAGTTGTACTAGCTGCGCCACCAAAGAAATTTCCACGGATTTCGCGTGTACATATAGTCGCTAGCTAGCCCTTTGTTTAATTAAACTGACAGTTATTAATTATTACTACAAGACATGAAATAGCTTAAGTTTTTTGGTATTTTATTTGCGACGCTTGGCGGCATCCAGAGATCTAGCTTCGTAGAAGTCTCCATCGCCGCGGGTGGCCTTTTTGTTGATCTCCAAGTGGCGCTCCTTGGTCACAATCTCTTCCAGTACCTCACTGTCGCCTTTGATGAGCCGGACGCGACCCGTGACCGGATCAACCTCCCTGCGCATCTGGCTCTGACGGCGCTGGTATTCCTCTGGAGTTTCCGGTGCATGCGATTTGCTATTCATCAGTGCTTGGGTTTTGGGGTGGGTTCAGAGTGTTCAGCAAACCATATACTGAATAATATATACAGGGGGGCTCTTACGGACCTATTGGTATGGCAAAGTCCTCCTCCTCCTGGTTGCCCCTTTCGGGTTGTATTGGTGTTGGTGAACCTATCGGCGGGGATTCCTCCTTTTTTCGACTGTGTTTCTTGGATTTCTTGGACTTGTGCTTTTCCTTGTGTTCCCTGCGCTTCTCCTTGTGCTTTTTCTTGGATTTTTTTTCACTTTTTCCCATTTTAACAAGCTAGCAAGTGAACGTAAACAATCCGATTTTTAAAGAATGACAGCAAAAATTGTATACTTGGATACCCTGTTGAGCTGTGGGGTATGTCCCCTCAAGAGTTTGTTGATGCAATTATTAAAAAGTATTTGTATATTTCCGTGCACAATGAAATGTAATTATTCATATGGTTCTTACATTATATTCATATAATTAAAGGAGATCAAATAAACGTATGCCTTTTAGTCGCTTTTTAATTATAATAATCAACGCAAATTAATGAATTCAGCTTGAGTCTTAAAATGAATAAAATGGATATACCCCCTTCCTTCCCTGTGGTATGTAACTGCACTACGTGAAGTGTTGGCCAATGCCAAAATTCCTCTTCGACCTACAGCACTGGTCGATTTTGACAGCGCCGCGTGGAATGTGGACATCAAGTGGAACCTAATTAGACGCATGTTGTGTTGTGTACAAAAAGAAACGTCAAACTAAAGTCGAGCGCACCAAAACTAAACGGCCAAGAAATACGCAAACCCACAGGAAACCGAAAAGGATAAGGCACAGGAAATACGATTGCATACCAGAGAGAGCGGCGGACCCGTAGCGAACCGCTCCCCCAAAAAGCGGCGGCCCCAAAAAAAATCGCCCACAAGAGAATCCACCAAAAACCCATTTGCACACACACACACACTCACACAAACACACACGCGCAGCCAAGGAGCAAAAGAAGAATTGCGCCAGAAGAAGCAGCAGCATAAAGAATCTAGTAGTGCAACCACCCGGATCCACAGGTTCTCGTTCCAAAGGTTGGAGCAGCGCCACAGGAACAGCCAAGCAGTCAGCAGAAGATCACCAGTAGCAGCTACCAGTCAGGATCATAAGTGCCAGGATGAGCATGGAGAAAGTAGCCAACAAGCAGTATGAGTCGTAAGTGGAGCACCTCCACCACCCACGCGCACCGCCTGCCACCCACAAGCACAATCCCTGCCAGCAACAAAACTGGGCCAGCATCACCTTCTTTACTTGGCCAATTGTTAGGTTATGTTCTGGCTGCATTTACGTGCGCCCAATCGCTTTATTCATTCCGATCCTCCTCCGACTGACGGATTAGTACCTCGGCGGCCAGCTGCTCGTCCTTGTCGCAGGCCAAGTAGGCCTGGACAGCCATAACACGTTCAAAACCCAGTGCCTCCAGTCGCTCTACGGCGGCGGCTTCTTCGGCGGTCAAGGCAACTTGTAAGAGTTCTCCCTCATCCGGATTGTGATTGTGATTGGCATCACCGACACTACCAGCAACACCTGCAAGCATGGTCATGAGCCCCTCCTGGTCGCGATGAACGTCTTCAAAGGCAGCCGGATCGGTATCAGCCAGTCTTTCCAGGATTAGTTGCATTAGTTCTGGATTCTCACGAATCATTTCACGCACCTGTGTAAGGCGAGGATCGCCCATTAAGTGCTGCAGCTGCTCAGTTGACTGTCCGCTCGGGATTTCAGCTAGTTCGTGCTCCGGAGAAGCCTCCTGAGGAATCCCATTGATCAGATACTCTATAGCCCTTTCTGGATGATTGAAGCTGGCACGTAGGGCTGAGCGTACCTCCTGTTCGCCATATCCCATGGACATGAGATCGCACACCCACTGCTCATTAGGAGCCATTGAAGGCGTCACATCCTGTGTGCGCATTGGCTCAGCGGCCAACGGTATTGTCGGGGAAACCTGCTCCTCTGGCAGGCTGACATCAGCCTTTTTCTTACCCATCAACACAATGATCCTGCCCTCGGCTATGTTATATTCACTGAGGGGCATGGCATCCTCCATAATGCGACCACTGTATATCAGCTGAACGTTCTCCGCGGGCAAAGAGACTTCGGGCAAATTGCCCAATATCTGCTTCAGAGTCTTCACATCCTGCGATTCGTTCATCTCCAAGGTGATTGTGTGTTGGTCCAGCATGCGTATGGACAGCTTCATCGTTTTTATATTTTTGAATTTAATTTTGCAGCGTTAGTTAGTGATAGAAATGTGGAAGTGCGGCGGTTGTGTCATCTGGTGAACCTTTTGTCGAATTTGATTTCCAACCCTTGACATACTAATCAAAATCTATCTCGTGTCATGTACGCGCTTTTCAGGAAAAACTGGCCAGATCTCGTCGACAGCGACGACAGCGATGTGGAGAATGAGATAGACGTGGACAAGCTGCCGCCACTGGAGGTGGGTCCCGGCGAGAACCGGCTGCAGCACACATACTGCCTCTGGTTCTCTCGCAAGGGGACGCAGCGGGCGGCCGCCGACTACAGCAAATCGCTGCACGTGGTCGGCCGGTGCGCCAGCGTGCAGCAATGGTGGTCGCTCTACTCGCACCTCATCCGGCCCACTGCCCTGAAGCCCTACCGGGAGCTCAGCCTCTTCAAGCAGGGCATCAAACCGATGTGGGAGGACCCTGCGAACAGCAAGGGCGGCCAGTGGGTGATACGGCTGCGCAAGAACAAGATCGAGCGGGCCTGGGAGAACGTTTGTATGGCGATGCTCGGGGAGCAGTTCCTCGTCGGCGACGAGATATGCGGAATCGTGCTACAAACGAAATATCCGGTGAGTTCCAAAGATCCTATATATATTATATCTTATTTGGGGAGATCATGCCGGAATACCTTATGACCAGTGATATTTTTTAGAATTAGCTTCAGTACGCTTCTAGAAGATATTTATTTAATAATTTTTTAATGAATTTCCAGTTACTAATTTTTATAAAATGCATTCCCCTTTTAAATGAAATGCATTAGAAATTTTAACTATAATAATTTGCTTCTAAGTTATAATGTGATATTAGAATTGAAAACATCATTTATAACTTTAAATTTAGATTTAAACGGAGTGAATTTTTAAATTTTGCTCCAATAGGACCAGTGTTGGGCAACGTCTCGTAGCAGTTCACTGCCCTGGGTATTACTTAATTTTTATATTTATTTATAAATGCCGCGTATATATATATATATTATTGCATTTTGCGGCCTATTCCCTAGTTCCTTTTCAGGTCGCGATTCGCTTAAACAAAAGTGCCGGTCGCGTTTCATTCATAAAAATTCTCGCGCATGACGTTTCTCAGTTCGAATGGGATCCACAAACAAACCCGTGCTGATTGTTGTTGCTATTGTGTGGGACTGACGTAATGCTGGCATATTTAGTACATTTTATTTCGCGTTTTGCTGGTCTCTTCGCGGCTGTTGACAGCAAAAGTGAAAACACGAAAATGCCGAGCAAAAGAGAAAACAGAATCCACTTACAGTTTTTTTTACAATCAAAAGTAAAAGTATCTTGATTATATTAGCTGTTTAAAATAAAGATGAGCAGATATTAATATAATTATTTAAGCAGAAGTATGTCAAAAATATTATGTTCTTGCAATAATATAAAATACCGAAATTAATAATATACTGCTCTCATTTAAATTCCACATCCGAATACACCAACACATATACACTTGATTTCCGAATCAAGGAAATTGAGAGAAAGAGAAGATATTCTCATTTGCCAGTGCTGAATTGGTTTGAGTCCGCGCTTAGCGCTGATTCAGTATAGTATTTTTTTCTACTCAGTACAGTATACTTTGAAGGAAATTATTGCGAACCGGAAGGTATTTTCTGGTAGTTGCAGCACGGTCACACTCGAAAATTGTTTGCCCGCGCGAGGTGCTGCGTTTCATTTCGGCTCGCATCGGAAACAAAAAAAATCTCTTAACCGCCGGGAAAGTCGCGAAACAATATTGGGTTTTATGTGAAAAAATCGAGAAAAATATTGTCAACACATTTTCCTAAGATAACAACAAACAAATGTGCGTGTGAAACAATTGGCGACAACAACAAATCGTGCACCCCAGACAGCCTGTGTGCGAGAGCGTGAGAGGTGGTCGTGCGTCCCTCTCCAACACACACATTGAATCGGCGCCGACGACGCGTACGCAACAAACGAAAATAAAACGCAAGCGAAAAGGAGAGAGAAAGAACAAATAACGCCCACCGTAACACCCCCCGCGAATAAGAAGAAGCAGAGAAGCTGAAGCAGAGAAAGACGAAGAAGCAGCAGCAAAAGCAGACGGCAGAATTGGAGCTTTGCGCAGAAATCGATTTTTTTGCCCATTTTAAGAGATTTTCGGTAGCCTCTCCCACTGTCGAAAATCGTTTATAGCCACTGCTGCGTGCGTGTTTGTGTGTGTGTGTGCGTGCGTGTGCCTGTGCGAAAGTGAAACAAACAAATACAACAGGCGAAAGATTAAAATTATATAGTACCACTGTGAGTCACAAATAATAAGAAAAGAAAAAAACAGAAAACATAAAAAAGAAAAATTAATTCAGCAGCAGCTTTAGCTTTTTAGCTGCTGGCATTGAAGAGGTGCTCTGCCGCAGTCGACGTCTCTGCCGCCGCCCGCAACACGCGCTCTCTTGGTCTCTCTCCGTCTCTCTTGTGAGTGAAATAACACCACACTAAACGACACACACACGAGAAAAAGCATAATAATATTAACCAAAACGCCAGCCAAAGTGCCAGTTAAGTTATAATTATACACTAAAAGTAAACCGAGAAAAGAGAGAGCTGCCAGCCAAAAGCGGAAAATCAATAAAAGGTCTCTCGCAAAAGTGGAAAAACGTGCAAACAAGTTAAAAGCAAGGCTGCAAAAAAAGAAAAAAGAAAACTCCGCGCGCGTTTACACGTGTGGTTTATGTGTGTGTGTTTAACGTTTAACTGCTAATCGCAAAAACGCAATCTGCGAAGACCGCGTAACAAAGGCTTACGTAAAGCTTGGCAAAGAGAGAAAACCGAATAACAACGAAGCATAAAAAACAATATATAACAAATTCAACAAATTTGGAAACTCCCAGAAAACAAGGATAGTCCCAAAAATTAGAAACTCCCCAATTATCAAATTCCCCCAACAAAAAATATAACGAGAATAACCTTCTCGCACACCCTACAAAAACCAGGATAACAACCCGTCACAAAGATGACTAAAGACAGATTAGCCGCTCTCCATGCCGCCCAATCGGATGACGAGGAGGAGACGGAGGTGGCCGTCAATGTGGATGGCCATGATTCCTACATGGACGACTTCTTCGCCCAGGTGGAGGAGATACGCGGGATGATCGACAAGGTGCAGGATAACGTCGAGGAGGTGAAGAAGAAGCATTCGGCCATCCTGTCCGCCCCGCAAACGGACGAGAAGACCAAGCAAGAGCTGGAGGATCTGATGGCTGACATCAAGAAGAATGCCAATCGCGTTCGGGGCAAGCTCAAGGGCATCGAGCAGAATATCGAGCAGGAGGAGCAGCAGAACAAGTCGTCGGCGGATCTGAGAATCCGGAAGACGCAGCACTCGACGTTGTCACGGAAATTCGTCGAGGTGATGACCGAATACAATCGCACGCAGACCGATTACCGGGAGCGCTGCAAGGGAAGGATACAGCGTCAGCTGGAGATTACCGGACGACCGACCAACGACGATGAGCTGGAGAAGATGTTGGAGGAGGGCAACTCGTCTGTGTTCACGCAGGGCATCATCATGGAGACGCAGCAGGCCAAACAGACGCTGGCGGACATTGAGGCACGTCACCAGGACATCATGAAGCTGGAGACTTCGATCAAGGAGCTGCACGACATGTTCATGGACATGGCCATGCTGGTGGAGTCGCAGGGCGAGATGATCGATCGCATTGAGTATCATGTGGAGCACGCTATGGACTATGTGCAGACGGCAACTCAGGACACCAAGAAGGCGCTCAAGTACCAGAGTAAAGCCCGACGAAAGAAGATCATGATACTGATCTGCCTCACTGTGCTGGGCATCTTAGCGGCCTCATATGTTAGCAGTTATTTCATGTAAATCTCGAATGCAATTACTTACACGCCACATTCACACCACCTCACACACAGCCAGACACACATTATACTATATCTCATCCAGACCCAAACTATATACATACATAGAATGTTGCGCAACCCACCCAGAGAAATTGCAGAAGACAAAATCGAAACTTAAACTGTAAGAGACCGCAACCAGTGAATCCCCGATAAAAAAGAAATGCACACGAAATTAGGTCTCGATTACACCAATTATAGCTATTACAATATATAGAGAAACATGTATGGTTAGTAAGCAAGAGTCTCAAGTCCCCAGAGTCTATCCTATATACACATGAAACTCAACTTATAGCTACCAGAATATTTAGTACTTGTAAACAAATTGCTAATTGAAAAGTTATAAAAACCAATGCGAAGAGAGTTAAAACACAAAACTACAAGACACGTAATTGCAAACAAAGAAAACATGAAATTTTATTGATTATTGTTATAATGCGAAGCAAAAAAAACAAAAAGAGAATTATAATAAAAAGAAAGGAACACTTCTCCACTGAAACACACGAAACACACACTCATTGCAAATGCTTTGCAGGGAGAAGTGAAAGAAAATCTTGTTGATTTCCTCGTTTTTCCGACTTTGAAAATGCATTTAGTTTTTGTTCGTTTAGCTAGTTTAGTTCTCCTGTTCAAAACTCACACAAAAGTAGCCTCATCACCCACACACTCACTCACACCGATGAAGATGAGAAATATGCAACAAATCTCTAGTTCACTTTTGAATATTTATTATAAAAAGATTGTTTACTATACGATATAATAACTATATTGACTATTTACTATAATGCTATTTACTTAACATGTTCATATTTATTGAATGCATATGAAAAATATAAATTATACAAACACAGCGCATATATATATACAAATATAAATCTAGATAAATAGCTAACTCGGACATTCTCAATGGAGATGATAATGCGAAACGAATACATGAGAAGTTGAGGAAGTTGATGGAATGTCGACTTTGAAGGGGTAAACAATTCAATCACACTCACATATATAGTCAGCTTCAAATTAATCGGTAAACTGTTAAATTTATAGTTGATTATTCATTTTTGTTTCCTTTTCTCTTGTTGCGCAAACAATTGAACAAGTTTTTATGTTGTTTAACTTACCGGAAAAACTAGTTTTCTTTTGTTGATTTCCGTTTTGTAATCGCCCGAAAAGTTAACAGAATTTAATGGATTTCGGTTTCAGCTATGATTTCATTTCTCACACTCACACCGCACAGCACTCACAGTTTTGAAATACTTTTTCTTTCTGAATTAACCTAATTTATTTTTCCTTTCTTTCCACCCACCGCCCCACATCTCAATAACTAACAATCGGAATGCAAATTCAAAACTATACTACCCACACATACCCAAAATATCTCTGGCATGCGGCTGTAAAAACCAATTTAACGAATAAATCAAACCAATCAACTCTTCTGCACTCACAATAAAAAACGAACAAACCATATAGAATCCAAGCATCCAAGTAGCATGCTCCTCATCAAGGCCTATAATCTGCATTATCTACTCACGTTTTGTAGTACAATTCTGATAATGCAAAACCATTATAGTTACTAATGACACTAAACGCAATGCGTATGAGTTTATCAGAATTATTGTGATTAAGATAGACAAGGAAATGCTTTCGCTTCTAAGTAGGAAATGCAAATTTATTAATGCACCAAACGAACTCACGCGAATTGGTGGATTTCTGTTTTGATCACACGAAATTACCAACTGCAATGCCAGACCTGCATTAAAAGCACGATTATTTCTTATTCAATACGTTAATTCACCTTTTGATCTTTTGTACGAGCAACGAATGAACAAGTTAATGAAAACTCAAAAACTGCAACTACAACAGCAATAGCGAAAATCAGCACGTTTTCACCACTAAAACAACAGCAACAACAACTGCAAAAAACACCCAGTTAATAACGCGTTCAGTGAAAAGTAAATCAAAAGAAATATAACGACTTCGTATTATGTCAATCAATCAAACTGCGATTTAATTTCGATCACATAAAAGTGCAATCCGAATGCCCGAAAAAAAAAAACCAAAATCAAAAATAAACCAAAAACGCGACTCCGCCCTGCCACGCCCTCACGTTCATTGGAAGTTCCAGTCCGGGTTCCAGTGCTCCAGTGTTCCAATGCTCCAGACCCGCAGCTTCCAGCGCGAAAAATAGCTGCAATGCTCCATTCCCACACGCTGAGGTGAGTAATACGCTATAATTATTCAACATTTAGCATTCTTTTTATCGGCAATTCCCGCAATTACTCTCTCTACGGTATGTTTTCCCTCACGACTTGTCGCGACAAGCATTGAAAAATCGCCGAAGGTCGCGTTTTCACGTCCTTTAAAGCACCCCATCGCTATCCCCAGCGCCCCTCCCCCTTTGAAACACCCACCGCCCCTTGAAGTTCCGCCTATCTTCTATTAATGAATTCGTGCCCTTTGTGTTGCGACATTTCGAGTTTCAAGAGTGCGAAACAGAGGGAGCGATAAAGCATTGGTCAAACAAGATCTTGGCAAACGAATGAAGCAAAACAAAAAGAAACTACTGTATACCCTAGATGTGATGGGGTATATTGCGATTCCGCAGCTCCAACTTCTCTTTTTGCGTGTCTTTTTTAATTAAAGCTCAATATTCTTTTAAAGCATTGGGAACACTTGGTTAAAGGAATTAGAATTTGTTTTGGCTTTATATCTTATTTGGCCCCCATAGAAATCACTCTATATACAGTATCTTATAGTCAGTTAATCTTATGTGCTAGTTTTACTACATATGCTGTGCTCCATTTGTTATAATCATCGTCGCTTTCATTTATATTTGTCATTCGGCTCTTTTCATCTTCCTGTCATTAAAAGAACACTATCTAATTAATAGAGAGTGTCTTTTAGTAAATGGGATATGAACAATTGACGAGATAATGAATATTAATGGTGCAATAATTATAAAAAAAATTCTCTTTCTCCTTAATTTCATTATTGGGCCATTAAATAACCAGTTGAATTATTTATACTTGCACGTTTAATCGAATAAATGCACTGGTTTGTCATCGATTATGGATACTACAGAAAAGCCTTATACATACATACATCATATATCTCACACGAATATTTTTTTGCAGCTTCGTCATACAAATGAATTCAAACCAAGTTAAGGCACTTATTTGCTCACTTTGCGCTCTTATTTGTTACTTATAACAAAAGCATCTTGTCGTTGATGATCTCATGCAGTGTGTATCGAGTCATTTGTGGTTTTTTTTTGGGTTGAAAGTTAGATATGTGTGTTTTTAAGCTCTCTTAAAAATAAGAAGCTATGAAATCTTCTAACGAAATCCCAAATTATATAATATTGCAATAGTTTTTCGGTTAATTGTACACGTACCACCGCATTCATGTGTATTTTATTGAACTTATTTTTAAACGATGACCCTAGAGAGATCACGATACCGTGCCAGTTGCGTGTTTAATTCGATAGCATTATACATCTGTGAAAGTTTCGTATATTATAGGCCGTTTATCATGTATCATTTCATTTCATTTAGTTCTCCCCATCACTTCCTGTCAGCGATTCCGAACGAGCTGCACGAGTATCGCCCCTCTAATGTGTGTCGAACATGCAGAGAGTTCGCGCCTCCCCCGATTCAAAATGTAGGCTTTGAATTGAGTCATCGTTGTCACCCTGCGACCTTATACTTTTGTTCCCTTCAGCCAGCCGAGTGCCTCACTAATTTATCATAGGCGTTGTATTGCAAAAAAAAAAAAATAAAAAAAGCGACTGGTTCCATTATAAAGTTAATTTACTATGAATATCTTGAGTCATATCTCCGCATTCTTGAGTTAATGATGCAGAAGTTGTATTCTAAAGGCAAATACCTTATGTTTTCTTTTTCTCTATCAAATCAAATCTTATTTACTTTTCACCCCACTTAGTTATTAAACGGTTTAAAGCAGTTGTGCAAATGTACAGGACGTACCGCGCACTAAAAATGAGCTGTGCCAAAGTAACTGATGAATCATCAGTGTTATCACTTGATAATGGACTATAGGTTGGCATAGATAACGAAGGTGTGTGTGGGCAGCGCTTCACCTTGTGTCCATGTGCCTCTCTTTGCGGCTTCTACTGAGCAAATCCGTCTGCAATGTTCGAATGCAATTAAGAGTTCAGCCCTTGAGTGACGTACCCCACTCCACCTGTCGCCGCATTCACATGTAACCATTTTTTCAGTCTTTGCCTTTTCACCTTGTTGTGCTCTATCACATGGCTTTTGTTTGCCTTGTTGTTCTCAAGCCCTCATGTAGTAAAAATGCCCGCAGCATTGTGCACGCTTCTTTAATGGGTATATTGGGCAGCATAGTATTCTCTAGATGTTTCTAGAAACAAATTTACTAAGTCTTATCTAAACACACCTATGTAAAGTTGCTTGCCTAAATGCTTTAAACTTATGCAATGTTTCAAATTAAAAGCAAGAATGAGTTGTAGATTTTTACAGGGTATCTTCTGGTGCGGCTGCCACCTTTCCCCCATTTGTTGGCTCTATGTCAGCCGTCTTTTCTACCAACAGAGTTTGATGACACCACACTGCAGTGCCACGCCCCCTTGCAGTATTCGTATATTATTCGCAGTCATGAATTCAATTTATATATTTATCTATTTTTTCACTTGTACACTGCTTTTATTTATGTTTACTTATTTGTCTGACTATCTGTTATTTTGATGGCTTGCCAAATGTAGCTTTTTTCCTCGACTGCGATGTGGGAGTTTTTTCTTTTATTTTTCGTATCTCAACTTTGTCTGGTGAGTCACAAATCTTAGCGGCTTATGAGTACATTTTTTTGTTGTTAGCTGTCAGCCAAACGATTTGATTTATTGATTCACAAGCAGAAGCCATTTTTGCGAACCTAATGAATATCCAGTACGTGTAATATCTGCTATCCATGCGAACTTGACTGAGTGGGGCCTTTTATCATCTGCTCATCTCCTCGGATGTGGAAAGTTTTTTAGAATCGTCATTGTCGTGTTAACATTTGAAACTTGTCTGCCAAGATGCTCTCAACAGCTTGAAAACTTTTAGATTCGAAGGGCTGAAGTTTCGCTTTCTCGAGACTCTCTGACCATGTAGAAATTTGCAATGCACAAAGGAACAGGAAGCCTGCATCCTGCATACTGCATCCCGTTTCCTGCATTTTCCACATCCGAAGCAGACAAAATGCAAGGAATTTATCTACAGAGCAGTAAGATGACGAAATTCCCTAAGAAATTCAGCTCTTAAATATTTTATGTCATATCATATAGTCTTCATATAGAAGTTCTTTTTAATTCAAAGGACTATGTTTCGTTTAGTGTACGAATGCAAGATACCTTTGGCGTGGAATCAAATTTGCTGAGATCCATAAATGTTTATGCCCAAGCTCAAATTAGAAGAAGATGGAACGGGTGGCGTTAGAAAAAGGCTTAGCTATCGATTTTTGTCGGCGCTGCGAAACAATTTGTTAATTGAAAACAAATTTCATGGCACGTCGGATGAGTTTTGGCTCAGAGGTGTGTTGAGAAGTGGGCGGTTTTGGGGGTGCTTGGATTTCAATACGACCCATGGGGGCCATCTAAACTGGACAAAGAGCACACACATGCACACACGAAAGTGGGCGTAGATTTTGTTAGGCCAGCAAAATTAATTTAGAGTTTGTCGTACAACAACATTTTCGTAGGCTATAAAACCTACGTGTAATCCCCAAAACGTAATTAAATTTCTGAAAAGTTTTTTGTTGAATATGCTTTAGAAAAACAGCACAATTTCACGTTGCGTTGTTGTGATAAAATAAATAAATTATTTGGCAATTTGTTCTCCTTTTTTATATAAAATCACTTTGGAAAAATAAAATGTTATATAATTTATACTTGATAAATCCTGGAATAATACCAAATTAATTCTGATTCGGTCTTAGCCTGAAGGGTATGCGGACATGAAAGTCCTTTAATACATGTGGCTGACCCTTTTTTTTGGGGGGGATTTACTTCGTTTTGCGGAAAGAGTTCATTCGCCTACTTTTATGTACTCCCAAAACATCAGATACGCCTGGCTCATGACCACACCCACCTGCCCTCCTTTTCTTTTTTTTTTCCAAATTATATGTGTATTTAATGCTGCTGCAGTGGCAAGACAAGAAACAAAAAAAAACATGAAATGAGTTCTGCTGGGCATTTAACGAGTGGCAGGGAAAAACAAAATGGGTTGCCCGAGGAAAACCTGACCCAGTAATACGATGTGGGTGGTTTGTTTGGAGGGTCCATTGTTCCCTTAACCGCCAAAAGAACGAAAAAAGGGTTGAAAGTGATTCCCATTTCCAAGGTTGGCCCAGGCTTCTTACGAATTTTCATATTTTCGCCCCTCTATTTTTTTTTTTTTTGTTTTGTTGTTTTCCTCCGAGACAAAAATAAAATGCGAAAATAAAAGGAAAACTGAAAAACTGATATTCTCACATTTAAATTCCATGCGCTTCGCTTCATCTCCAATTTCCTTTTTTAAGTTGGCTCACAAAGACGAAGAAATGCCAGTTAACCAAGCATGAGTTCAGAAAAAAAGAGAAAGAGTGAAAAGGTTGAAACCATAAATATTAATGGTTGCGTCGAACGGTTTTACCTTTAATTAAATGAACTTCTAGAGCTTGATTACGTGTGCGTCCGCTCAAATGGCTCAAAACAATTAATTGTGCAACCTGGTTTTGTTTTTCGCCCCTTTGCTTTAAGTTTGAGTGCACTTCTAATGGCTTCAAATGAATGTAATAAATGGTGTGAATAAATCAAGCCTTATCACAGCTGTTGCTTTCAATTGTTGTAGAACAAATGACTTCCAAGATAGCTTGTCAGACAATTCATTCATTTATATATTCAACTCTTAGCTCCACTCTGTTGTGGTATTGTATTTCAACTGGTGCATATGAACTAGTTTCGTGTAATTTTATTTGGACCCTGATTGGCACCCTTTGCCATTCCTGAAACTACCTCTAATTAACTTGTTCTCGGAATTCTCCTGCCAAGCGTACAAAACTTGCTGAGCAAACTGAGCAAAAAGTGAACAAGAAGTTCATGAAAAGAACGAAGGAATTGCAATCAACGAAAAGGTGCCGAGTAATTACTGTTGTCAAAGGGGAGGAACTGCAGCAGGACAGATGGACAAGAACGGAAGCTTGGCAAACCAAACAGTAT